CTGGATCATTTAATATTCTGCCTAAAGCATCCTTGATTATAGCAACTCTAGGTTTGAATTTGTTCTTCAGTTCCTTAGCTTAAGAAATGCTGAGCAAGTTCAGCCCTTTTGTTTTTCTGACTCCCAACTCCTTGCACATTTCATTGTAATATTTTACTTTGTCATCCTGTGCTGCCTTTTGGAATCTTCCATTAATCCCTAAGATTACAGGTGAGAAAAAGCCATAGAGCAGGTATGCCAAGAGCCAGAATCGATTCAATGGCAAGGTGGTATAGATAACACAAAGACAGTATACAGCCATATCTTGTTGTATACTCCATTTAACTACTTCCATCATTGACTCACTCCTCACTTGTTGACTTGGTGAGGTTCCAAAGACAGTTAGCTATGTGAAAATCAGCATGATGCAAAAATGGTAGAGGACAACAGATCACAAAATGGAGAATGGCTACATTGTTGCACATTTGTCCAATGACATCACTGTTAACCCGCTAAGAATCATGGCCCAAGCAAACTAGTGCTTTATAAACTACTATCATAGCCAGGGTCACTCTCAGTATTTGTTACTGACACATGCATGTCTTTAATACATAAAATAGACAATAGGGGGTTTTTGCTATTGTTGTAAATATGAGATGTCAGATAATCAACTGGTTGGTAAGAGTGAGGGGTAGATGTATTCTATGATCTTAGTTTCCTGTGAGATGGATCATGAAGGCTTCAAAGATTGGAAGTGCCCCCTTCAGTATATCCCCCCGGAGCTCAAACGCTCTCTCTTTCAATGGTTCCTCACGCATTCTAGGCCACTGGCCTCACACACAGTCCCAGGCCCATCACCCCCTCACTTGCCCAGAAGATTTATGACAGTACAGCATTGTCCGTTGCAACCTCCACCTCCTGTTGCTTAGCAACTGCAGTCCGGAGTCCCCTGCACAAAGACAGAGAGGCCCCTTCCATGCTGTGAGGCAGAAAAAGGGTTAATGGGCTCAGGGGCCTCCCTTGTGAGTCCTGACTCCCCAGACCGGCTCTGGCATGACCAGGAGCTCCAGACTTGGGGGTTGGGGATGGAAACAAAGGGTAAGGACAGGAAGAAGCTCCAGAGATTATTGCTCACAGCACTCAGCGCTCAAAAGAACAGCACAGGGATCAAAGGAAACCTACAGGTAGGCAGTACGTCTGCATGCCAGAAAGCCCCCAAAACAAGGCAGCGGGAAGAAGAGTTTCACATGTATCTCCGTGCTCCATCCCTGGAAAGCTTTCTTCTCTCCCCTCTAAGCTCTCCCTTGCCTTCAGGAAGGAAAAAATTCTCAATCTGCCTAGCTGCCTCCTAAGAACCCAAACTCCTCCTGGTTGGGCAGGCAGAGGAGGAGGGTGGTGGGCACAACCCGTCTTCCTCCTCTTGTGCTCACTGTGCCCCCCCCCTTAGTCCATTCCCATGGAGCTGGTGTGGGCACATGTACTCCCACCAGGCTGCTTGCCAACAACTGCCCCCAGTTTGAAAATAAACCCTTCTCTCTCCAGCACCTGCTGAGCCCACCCAGACCTGAGAGCCCAGCCAATCTGAGGGCTCCTCCCAGAGTTCAAACTAAAGAGGGGAAGGGGGGTGGTCTCCCCTTGAGCTTTCTCTAGTGTGGCCTATCCTGGATTTCCCCAGGAGGAGAAAGGAGGAAGAAGGAACGAGAAGCTTGATGCTCCCACGGCCCCAACCCCATCCTCAGGACCTCCTCACACTAAACTGCTCAGATTAAGGCTGCACCCAGGATTAGAAGAAGGCAGCGTCATTTGAGGGAGTCAGCTGCGACACATCAGAAGGCCCCTGGAGAGGACCATGCAGGACCCATCTGCAGCAGCAGCCCAAGGCCATCCATTTGCTGGTCTTCAGGGGTCCTGACCTTCTCTAGCCCACCCTTTAATACACATTCTATGTTGTCCTCAGAGTCAGGCTGAGCCAACTAGAGAAACCGAGAAATAGTCACCCTGTCATCCTACCGAGCTTAAGCCTCCTGAAGTCGCATGTATGACACTGTGTCAGGGACCGTAAGCACAGCACCCAGGGGCCAGGGTAGAGGCAAGCAGGGAAGATCACAGAAGACCATGCCACTGTCTGTGAGGTTTCATGATGGGATCGAGAAAGAGGAACTAGAGAATTAAGATGGATAGTTGGAACAGACCGTGTGGAGCTCGAAATGGCACAACTCTGCTGCGCGTGTCTGTGTGTAAATGAATGAATCGGCCCATGGATAAACACTGTGTGGGAAGCGGAGCCATGCTCATGAAGCAGCACTGAGGCAGGGGAGTGGAGATGAGGCTGGAAGGAGGCAGGGGAGTTAGGGAAGGGTCTTGCCCCCGTCTGTCTTCCCGGGCCCCCTCTGTTGATGCCATCTCCCTGCCTCCCACCTGAGGCTAACTCTTACCCACGTAATCGGGGTCGATGCGGGGAGAGTAGAGGCCGAACTGGATGAAGATGGGAAGCAGGAATCCAAAGCGCAGCCACTCGATGACATGCAGGGGGGGCCGGCCGGCCGGGGGCAGGAGGTCGCAGCCCAGCACCGTGCTCTCCCCAACCCGGCCCACCACTGACACCACCTCAGGCTTCCCTCGACCTGCATGGTGGGTGGCAGGAGGGCACAGCAGGGGTGAGTTAGGGCTGGGAGGGGAAGTCCCATCAATATCTCTGAGGTGTCTCTGAGGCTTAGGGATACATGAGAGAATCCTTGGCATCTCCAGAAACAACCCTATTCTTCCCTTCCCATCACAGGTGCTATGGAGAAGCCCTGAGGAAGCCCTCCCTCCCCAGGGCTGGTGGGAAGTTCTTGGGCCCCAAGAGTCCAGCTCACCGTAAGCCCCCTGGCTGACGACCAGGATGAAGATTGCCAGATTGAGGCACCAAACCATAGCCCAGCTGGCCTGCTCACCCGGCCCCTCCTGTCCACAGAGGCCCAGATGGAGGGGCCGAGGGATGTTCACTGCCCAGCAAGCCTGGGGTCAATTCTTCTGATGGGCCTTGGGTAGCAGGTGCTCACTCCTCTGGACACTTAGAGCTTGGCTCGCATAACAGCAGATGAAGCTGTTCTCTGGGGAACCACCAGATCTAAATGCAAGACACAAAGCAACATGCATTGCTGGCCAACACTGGAGGCCAGAAGAAACCTCACTGTGTGAGCAAGGCAATAGGAAGACAGGAGAGCAGCCAAGTAATGATGGAAAGATGCAAAAAGATCAGAGATTTTGCAGCCCAGGGCTAGAAGACGAAGTCCCAGCCTCCTCTCCCACTCTTCCCTGACTCCTAATGCCAACAAGTCAGCAGGTAGCAAGTAGAAGCAGTATTATCACTTCCACCCTCACTGTCTCAGGGCAAGTCACAGAATAAAGCTTGGGTGAGAAAGAATCCTAGATCTTGAACCTCTAGGCAGTAGTTCCCAGGTTGCTTGCACACAATCCCCTGCCTCATTTCCCTAACTGGGGGGAAGCCCACTGGAAGCTAAGGAGCCTTTCTTTCACACAGCCTCCCAGCCAGACTCCTGCTTTTGCAGTGAGTGACTCAGACTCTTAGGGGAGGAGGCGCTACCCCCTCACCTGCTGCTTTGAGAGGCGTGAGGGGCTGGCAGCATCCTCCAGGTCTGGGCAGGTCCCATGCCAGGCAGTTGGCGCCACTTCCCCTTCAGGATGCTGCCAGACAGCCCTCCCTCTGCCAGGCACCACAACTCACAGGCCTCACTTAGTTCCTCCCACTCATTCCCCTCAGGTATCCTCCGGACTCCAGAGATCTTCAGGCCCTCAATTCACCAACCCTGAGGGCTTGGTTTTTGACAAAACCAAAAAAACAAAACCCAAAAAAACCCTGGGAATCCCCCAAGTATATAAAGGGAGGCCTAGGGCATAGAGGGGACAGCTGCAGCCCCAGTGGCCACACTACAAACACACCAGGCTGGGGGCAGGAGAGGGACCCCTGTTCTGGGCCTGGCAAATACAGCGGGACTCTGCTCTGTGGAGCCTGCACCCAGCCTTCAGCCTCATCTCACTGGACTGACTATAAAACAATCTCTCCAGTGCTAAGCCTGATCCCTCCCTGCCTCTCTCTAATTAATGCCTCAATATGTCCAACTCCTAGCAAATCACCAGCAACTATTCTCACTCCCTCCCCTTCCACCACCCCATGGCAGGCTCCCTCATTTCTCTAAAGTATCTCTTTCTAAGGGTAGAGGAATCCCAAGTTTTCTCCTAGCTCAGTTTTCCAAGAACATCAGTAAACTAGGTGCCTCCAGAATAAATGATTCTGTTTTCCCTAAGATCTAACTCCTCTGTCCTCATCATCTCCACCTGTTCCTAGACCCCCTCAACCAGCCCTCCCTCGCTCTCCCAGTGCACCTATCAAGCAACCTCTCTTTCTCCCAGTTCCCCACCTCAATTCCAGATCTGATCTCCAGTTGCACCAAGTACACTATGTCCCTAAAAGCCCCCTTAAATGTTTCCTTTAGAATTCCTTTCTCCTCATCCTCCCTCCACCCTGGAATTCTCCTCCCAGGAATTCTCCTGCCTTAGCCCACAATGCACGTTGGCACCCCTCACTCTCCTTCTTTCTCGTATTCACAAGGCTCTTGAGACTCCTCCTTTCCTTTGGAACCCACCGGGAACTCCCCACTTGAACTCCAGAAGTCCAGTTCTCCAGCCCTCTCCACACTCGCAATTCCGCTTCACTCCTACAACTCCCCTAGTTCTCCTCCCCAAAGAATTCCACTTCACTCCACAACTCCCTGCTTCCTGCTGCCCTCCCATAACTCCAGCACCGTTCTCCATCCTATAGCTAGCACCCCGACTTCTATTGCCCCCCAAACGCCCCCGCCCTCACCTGCTCCGCAGCGCACCGCTCCACTCTCCCAGCTACACAATAGGGGGCGGACCCGCCTCCCCGCCTCGGATGCCCCGAGCGCCTCCCGTTGCCCTGGAGACCGCCAATCCCCCTCCGCGGCGACCAATTGGAGCCTACAAAAGGCGAGGCGAGGCGGGCGGGACCCCGGAGCGGCCTGGGAGTTGTAGTTTCAGGATGGAAAGACGCCGTGGCACGTGGGCTCAGGTCGCCCCCTCGTGGAGCTCCGTGCAACCCAACGTGGAAAAGCAAACCCGCCTTTTCCTCCTGCAAGCTCGAGGGGCTACCTGGCCAGGCCCTTGCTTCAGGAGACTGAAAAAGCAGGCTCCTCACAGGGTCATTTGTAAGCCCTCTTTTAAGCATAACGCACCTTCGACCTCTCCTCCTCCCTAATAAGCTAAAACAATCGCTGGAGCCACAGCTTAGGTTGAAATCTGAGCTGAGGGGAAGGAACCCCAGGCGAGGAGCAGGACTCCCCGCCCTCTTCCCAAGGGATCCACCTAGCTCCCTGGCTCACCGGATCTCCTCCCCCGTCCCCACCACCCATCTCTTGTCTCACCAGACTGGAAATACCTGTCTGCACTGGCACGCTCCCAGGTCTTGTCCAGGCGCCTCCCCGAGTGTGCAGGAAGGGAAGTCTGCGCTCTGAGTTCCAGCTGCGAGCTCAAAGGACTCAGACCCAGACCCCGAGGGAAGGAGAGACAGACATCCTGACCTGAGACCTTGAAAAGGGAGAAATGAGATACATGATCATACTCAGCCCCTGCAAAGTGCCAGACTTGGACTAGGTGCTTTATAACGACTTAACGTACAAACCCTCTGCAAAGTAGCGGGTTTTAACTCCATTTGACTTATGAGAAAACCGAGGCTCAACCAGGTCAAGTAACTTGCCCGTGATTTCCCACCTAGGACATGGCAGAGCTGGAATCCAAAGTGCTGATCAGGTGCTGCCTGCTAACTTTATGAAACCCCCTCACTTGGGCAGCTCAGCTCTCAATAGCTAGCATGCATGTCTGGCCCTCCGAGTTTCCTGGGGCCCCACGCTTGACTGTCCTTAGGATGCAGGATTGGTGTTCTACTTGCCCACCTGTTTTGAAGAATCATTGTCCAGAGCCTGCCTTAGAGCAAAGACACTAGCTGTATCCTGCCAGTCACACACAGCTAGTGCCTTTCTTGAGATTCCTACAATTTATACAGACTACACCATAGATCCATGGAACCGCCTCAGCATCAGGATAGACCGGATGGCATGGGTCTAACCATAATGTCACAGCAGATTCCTGACATGTGGCCCTGCTAGCTGATCCTCCAGCCGTTTTCTGACCACAGCCTAACACAGGAAGCTCCCCGTGAGTGACCCATTCTATTTTTAGTGAGCTCTGACTATTACACAATTAAAAGTGGGTGCTGGTGTCTGTCACAACTTGAGATGGAAGGGGTAGGTAGGGGATAGGAGAGGCACATGCTGGAGGGATGTTCTCTTCCATGATCCCTTCAGTAAATTCTCCTGAAGAAGTATTTCAACATTATTTGACAATTTAATATATTGACCTGACAGTTGAGAAGACTGTACTGTGAGGGGTGGCAGTGCTGAAATACCCTCCTTCCATATAGCAGTTGTTACGGGCTGTCCAGTCAGCTGTGACCCATAACGACTCTATGTACAAGAGAATGAAACCCTCTCCAAGCCTGTGCCATCTTCACAATATCTGCTTAAGCCCACTGTTGGAATAATTGTGTTAGCCCATCTCCTTAAAGGTCTTCCTCTCTCCTTCACTGCTTCTCTACTTTTCGAAGCACGATAGCCTTCTCAAAGGATTGGCCCTTCCTAATAACATGTTCAAAGTATGTGAGACAAAGTCTTATCTTCCTTGCTTCTAAGGGCCATCCTGGCTGCACCTTTTCTAAGACATTTGTTTCATTTGTAGTCCGGGGCATATTGAATACTCCTGACCAACGCCACCATTCAAGGCACCAAGGCAAGAGACCTAAGTTTTATTCCCAAACAATGTACCTCAAATACAGCCAACTCCTCTAAGTGGAGGCTTGCATGTTGCTGTAATAACAATTTTCAGTGGAGCTCTCAAGCTAAGACAGGCTGGGAAGAGAGGTCTGAGGAGCTGAATTCAGTCAGTGAAAATCCTTTGCATAACAATTGTCTGAGCTCTTTGTACATGAGGCAGGGGCTACTGACTAACTCAGTGGAGTCCAATAGCATCAACGAACATAAAGATAAAATTAAGAAAACACGTGAGTGGATACGACATGAAAACAAGACTATGCAGAACACTCAGAAAGGACAGTCTTTTTTTACTTCCTGGCTTCTTACCAATTGGGATCACACACACGCACGCACCTGTTAGAATCAGTTACATTTCCTGTTAAAACGTTTCATTTCTGCTGCCTCCAGTGTTTTTTGAGGATAAACTAATCTCTCTTGATGTAGATGTTAAAATAACTTCTTATAAATTGAGATTTAGAATGGTTTTCCATTAAAAAAAACTTTCGGAAGCATATTTTGTGAGCATTATTATTATCTATTTTTTTCTGATTCAGAAGTCTCTTAATGACTTCTTGGTAAGAAGAACCAAGTCCTATAAACATGTTCCCTCCCAGTACCTGAATTTCAAAAATGAAAGATTTTCTTCCTCTCTGAGAAAGTTTAGTCCACAGACTAGGAATCCCAGAACCAAAGTGTCAGATAGATTATTGTTCTCAAATGGCTGGCAAGGATATCAGAAAATGTTGTCTATTCTAGGGACTCTGTCACCCATGTCATCACAAACATGGGTTCTATTACCATATCAGAGAAGAGGGATAATTTCCCCTGTGTTGTAATTCAAATGGTTTATTTCACATTTGCCTTTTGTCCCAGCGAGGCTCTAGGCTACATGAGGAATAGATCATGCCCTGCTCATCCTTGAATTCCCCCACAGCCCTTAGTCTGTCCAAAGGGCCCTTTCCTACCTCTCCAGCCACACTTCTCATATCTTTATTAAGCTGGCTTTGTCTTTGCAGTCCCTAGCATTCACTGTGTATTATATATTATTCA